CCAGGCTAATTTCACAATTTCTAGCCAACCAGACTGAACTCAAGCCGATAAGCTGAAAATATGTTACCTATTTTGTAAATAATATATTTATTAGTAAATGACTACTATATCCCTACAATCCTAATTTTTATTACTATTGTATCCCTGATTTTTTCCTATAAATACGAGTCTTTGGTTCTTAATAAATCAGACAATTCTATTGGTTTTTCTCTTTTGTCTCTCTAATTTATAACACGTTATCAGCATGAGTTTCTAAAAATCAAATTGAATTAGTTAGAAGGTAATGATTTTTATATGCATAATGATCTGTGTCACTTGAACCAAACTTAATTTTATGGCATGTGAATTTTTCTATAAACACATGCTTCAAAATGAAGTTGCTTCTTTTTCTTTCTATACATTTTCGCTTGTAAGCAAATCCATAATAATTATTTTATTATTATGCATAATGATTACTTTATTGCCTTTGTTTAGGTGTCGGTATATTTAATCAACTTCAACACATATCTCATGCCTGTACAAATTTTATTTGTACAGTGAATTGTTTGTACGTTATATGCTTTTAATCAATGATAAATTATTTATATGTAAAATTTTTGTAAAATATGCAAGAGATTTGATAAGTTATCTTAAATAATTATTTGATTTTTAAGAAATTTGACCTCCCATTGAAAGCCCATTAATTTTTAATGGACTAACACTAAAGATATTTTTGACTTCTAAAATTTTCTCCTAATGCATGTATGATAATTAACTTTTTATATAAATTTATATCATGTTTTTTTGGTAATTAATAGTTTTAATATGATTAAGTGTTTTAGATGTTATTTTATAAATTTTAAATTGATAATATATCATGTTTTTGTTTCTGAAATAGCACAATATTATTTATATATATTTTAATTAGATTTTACATACTCCCGAAGAGCATAATAAAAAACGATCTAACATAAATTATATTTTTACTCCCAAAGAGTAAATTCTTATTTAATTTATTATAATAATATGTAATTGCTCCTGAAAAACATAAAATTATAATTTTCGATATTTTAAAAGAATAATGATATATTACTCTTGAAGAAGTAATAGCAAAATATAAAATGCTCTCGAAATAGCATATTATAATTTTCATTAATATTCTAGTTAGATTTTACTTGTTCTCGAAGAGCATAATAATATAAATCTAACATAAATTATGTTTTTACTCTTAAATAGTAAATCATTGTATAATTTTATTATAATAATATTTAATTGCTTCTGAGTAGTATGAATTATAATTTTCAATATTCCAAAAGAGTATTGACATATTGCTTTTGAATGTGCAATAATAAAATACAACGTGCTCTCGAAGTAATACATTTTTAGAAAAATATATCATTTTGAATTCATGTTTATCCCTAAAGAAAAACATATAAACAATGTCATGGAAATATTGATTAGTTTGATTATTTAAATGATATATGATTATATAATGTTTAATCATATTTTTCGAAATTAAATAATTGATCTTATATTGAACCAGAAGTTCAATTTGACTTTATTGTTTCGCATGACTAGTTAGACCATCACTGAATTTATAATTGTGAAAAATTAAAAATTCAAATAGATATTCAGTGAAGAACCAGAAGATTCTTCAATCTAATGATTTTTTATATGATATTTGTTTTTTATTATTGATCATTAACACTAGATAAATAGAGACTGGATTTACTATATTTTTGAAAATTAATTAGAGTGATAAATGAAGCTTATCATCCTCCATGTTGACCATCTAGATATTATGTGTATTTTATAGATTTGATATATTTAATAGATAATTACATGATATTCACAATTGAAGTTTGCAAAATTACTGTTCAAATTATGAACAAAATTTTCAAATTATATAATTAAGACTATGTCTTATTAATGTTAGTGGACATAATTCTCAACATTTTAATAAGTTTTAATTGAGACATCGATAAATGATTTAACGTTATTGTTTGTTAAACGCCTCCAATTAATTTAATTGAGAACAAAATACTTCAAATTTCTGTTTAGGGAAAGCCTTTACATATCATGCTAATATCATATTTCTCCCAGTTATAACTGGCTTATGGTCAGAGCCTAATTTTTCCATTAAATTATTTCGATTGCACCCGCTACTCTGCTCTGAGATAGAAAGTAAAGAGTTCTGAGAATAAATGAGTAGTTTGAATATTTATATCAAATGGGTGACATTTTATAATGAGGTTTATTGATTGTCAATTTGTTAGGACAATTTTCTCAGCATTAGCGGGGAGAAATTAAGAAGTTGAAAATAACGTACAAATGCATTATCATCTAAATCCTTGCAAAAGATCATTTGAATCGAAGTTCAAAAGATAATTCATTTAGATATATTTACTGACCAAAGAGATCAATAATGCCTCACATATCAGCTTTAAATTCTCCAACTCGAATTAACGTCCTATAGGACAATTAATTAATTTGATATTTGATGGCATGCCTAAAGCGTGATGATATTCGATTCTAATATAAAAATCTCTAAACGAAATGGAGCAATTAGCAAAGATGGTCCTATTAAAGAGGCATATACTCTTGATGATTATTTAGACATAACAATTTTAAAACCCCGGAAGAGATTTAGGTACCTGAAATAATGAAAATTGGGATATTTTAATAAGATATGTCATTATAGAAAAGAATTGAATTGAAAAAGAAAAAAATATTGATAATTTTTTTGCACATGTGTATCATATATATAGCGAGGAATTGAAATAAATGCGTCGAAATATATCGATCAAAGTAATGATTG